TTCTCTCTCTGGCTGCCTTTAGTACTCTGTCCTTGTCATTGATCATTGCCATTTTAATTATGTGTCTTGGTGTTGTCTTCTTTGGTTCCCTTGTGTTGGGAGTTCTGGTGCTTCCATGGTCTGAGCAACTATGTCCTCCCCCAGTTTGAGAAAGTTTTCAGCAATTATTTCTTCAAAGACACTTTCTATCCCTTTTTCTCTCTCTTCTTCTTCTGGTACCCCTATAATGCAAATGTTGTTCCATTTGGATTAGGCACACAGTTCTCTTAATATTCTTTCATTCCTGGAGATCCTTTTATCTCTCTCTGCCTCAGCTTCTCTGTGTTCCTGTTCTCTGATTTCTATTGCATTAATGGCCTCTTGCACCTTATCCAGTCTACTCTTAAGTCCTTCCAGAGATTGTTTTATTTCTGTATTCTCCCTCCTAACTTGATCCTTTAGCTCTTGCATATTTCTCTGCAGGTCCATCAGCATGGTTATGACCTTTATTTTGAATTCTTTTTCAGGAAGATTGATTAAATCTATCTCCACCAGGCTCCCTCTCAGAGGTTGTCTGGGTAATTCTGGACTGGATCAAATTCTTCTGCCTTTTCATGGCGATAGAGATAGTCGTAGGCAGTTGGCATGTGTATTAGCTGGGAGAACAACATACCTTCCTGCGCCTTGCCTTTCTCCACTGCCTGTGCTGGTTACCCGCACATGGGGAGCAGCTTCCAGTTTTATTTCCTGAGCCTCCGTGGGCGGGGCAGCCTAGAGCCTGGCGGGGAGTGGCAGGTGCTCTGGGTGTGCTCTCCTGCGAGAACAGCGACCTTTTGCACTCTGTCCTGACTTCCTTTGTCTGTGCTGGACTGCTGCACGCTGGTGGGGCCTCTGAGTCTGGCCCGGGCAGCTGCGGAGGAGGCCCTGGGTGGCTGCTGTGGGTGCAGCCGCTCTCAGGCTGCTGCCCTGCTATGGCGGGGCCATGCCGGTGTGGGAATGAATAGGAGGCCGTTTATCACTGTGAGGGGCTTCAGAGCTGCACCGTCACCCAGGGGGTTAGAGCACCTAGAATTCCCCGGGATTCCCAGCTGTTGGGCTGAGTGTGCCGGGACACTTCCATCCAGCTGTGGAGCCCTTGTCCCTTTAAGACTTTCAAAAGGTGCTCGCTTTTCTTTTGTCCCAGGGGCACCGGCTGCGGAGACCCTCTTGCTGGTTTTACTGTTCTGTTACCCTGATATCCAGCACATGTCGCAGTGTATGTCTGTGCTCCTGGTGCGGATGACTAGGGCTGGGTATTTAGCAGTCCTGGGCTCCCACTCCCTCCCTGCTCTGACTCCTTTCCTCCCGCCAGGGATCTGGGGTGCAGGGGTCGCTCTGGTCCTGCTGGGCCCCAGCTTATATCTTACCCCCTTCATGAGGTGCTGGGTTCTCACAGGTGTAAATGTAGCCTGGCTGTTGTACTATATCTTCTGGTCTCTCTTTTAGGATTAGTTGTATTTGTTGTATTTTCAAAAATGTGTATGGTTTTGGGAGGAGATTTCTGCTGCCCTACTCATGCCACCATCTTGGCTCCTCCCCCTCAGAAGGGGTGTTTTTAACATGGAACACCTAGAAGGTGTTCAGAATTAGAATATAATTGTATTTATCCAGTTCAGAACAGCTCATTGCCCGATTTTTAAGTCTGTCCTTAAAATACATGTCATGGGAATTATACACCAGCCACTTTTCAGTCTTCTTTCCTAGAATAAGTCATGGTGAAAATAGCAAATAATAACTGTCCAACTGCAGAGCAGGTCCAATAGGCAACTGCTGTTACCTGCACTGGACTCAGTGTTGACAGATATGCCCTTGGTGAGAATCATCCTCAAGTGCATCCTCCAAAAGGGAAGACCGAGTGTCTTCAGCTCCCCCATCATAGAGGAAACACATGTGAAGATGATCTACTGAGGGACATGGTGGTCTTCACTGTCCTTCATAAGAGCTCAGGGAAGCAAAGCCATCTCCTTGTTCCTCCTTGACAAGGAGGGGATTCTCTGGAGGTGGTAGTAGTTCTTCATTGATTCCGTTATCTCATCTTTCATTGTCAGGAGGCTTCACACAAATTAAAGAAAGAGTGTGCTGAAATGAAATTAAATGGACATCACTCCATCAGAGCTAAAAAGAATGGTAATGTCCTCAAGCCAAAAGCATATCTGCTGGTGTAGTTGAGGTTGGAGGTGATAAGCTTGATAACCTGAGTCTCTTACATGACATTTTATGATTCTGTGTGTATTAATTAATTAAGTGTATGCTATTTAATGGTTACTTTCAATTGGAAACCTGGTTTTATTCTACTGCTCCTATATGATCTTATAGCAGGGTCGTGTGTGTAGTCATTCGGTGTAACTGGCTTTAAGAATCCTATGTGGGGGAAGCAGCATAAAAAAAGGAGTTCCTTTCCTTTTTATAAAATAAGTTTATTTTGAAATGTAAGTTAAAAGGCTATTTGGGAAGATTGCCAAGATTTAACTTGGTCATAAAGGATGTGAAAAACTGGGAGACAACATTTGCCATTCCACTGCAAGAGCTCTTTTCTTGAATTTGTGACAGTATTTTAAAAAATTATTGGATAAAGTCATTCGGAGCTTGAGTATGTCGGGTACTGTGGCCCATGTCACCCACCAGTATGGTTATACATTGGAAAATTTTGAATTGCTTAGTAAGCTCTTTACTCTTTATGAATTTAATGAATATGAAGCAATGGTTGGATGTATATTTTCCTGACTCAAAGGACCTCTTTATTCTAAAGGGAGAAAAGGAAGAATAAAAGCAAATTGAACTTCTTTACTTTGCTTTCAGAGAGCTCCATTGACAGTTAAGACATGGTAGAAAATAAAATTAGCATGTCCTTCATTATATTATTCATCTAGTATTTACTGAGCATATACTTTCAGCTTAGCAACCAGCAGATTGCTTGTTAAGTCAGAATATTACTTTTGAACCTACTAGAAGGTATATGCACTTTCTGAAATAGTTTTATTAGCTGTACTACGTATCAAAAGGTCAAAGAGGAAAATAATAAGGCCCTTACGATGATAAACTCACCATTGTTAAGACTGGTTACTGAAAAACAACTCCTTTGTGTTGGGTGTATAGAAGTAGAAGGTCAAGGCTACAAATGCATAAGGAAAGATGGAAAATGAGCTCATAAATAGGAAGAATTATGTTAAAGAGATACCTAACTTGGTTCAAAGAAACAAAGTCAGAAAAAAATCTGTAAAAAAAATAAATAACAGCAACTGTGGTATCTAAAACCAAGCTGACCTCTTTGCTAGTTTGAAATTTTTACAGAACAAAATAGTTTTTCATATGCTGTTGCATATAGAACAACGTCTTTTGTCTCTAAAGTGAGTCATGCAGGAAGCAGATGGGGAGATGAGAGCACTGTTGATGCAGGGAACAGAAAGAAGCACATAAGCTGTATCTGAGGCTAGGAATTTTAGGAAAAAACCTAGACTTTTTTGGGGGAAGAAGCCTTGAGACATAGGGGACTTGCAAAGCCATGGCAGAAAAATGTTGCCCTAATAACCCCAGGAAGAAACAAAATGGCAAGACGCATTTATGAGGTTGGGGGTCTGCAGAGTTCTAGGAAGGCCCTCCACACATCCATCTGCAGCTGGGGCCGTGCTTTTCTTGCTTCCGACTTCATGCCTAGTTCCCACCCTGACATACCATTAGTGAGCAGATGTAGGGAAGTGGATGTCTAGAGAGATGTTGTAGTTTTAAGAAACAGTTTTTGTTAGGATTTAATCAGTCGCTTTCCTTGTGTTCCTGTAGGAACATAAAGTGCTGCTGACCGGGACCCCACTCCAGAACACTGTGGAAGAGCTCTTTAGCTTACTTCATTTCTTGGAACCAAGTCGCTTCCCTTCAGAAACCACCTTTATGCAAGAATTTGGTGATCTGAAAACAGAAGAACAGGTACTTAAATCAGTTCTACTTTGTAATTTAGACATATAATTGAAGATTAACTCATGAAATGGCAAAATATTACAATTGAATTATTTAAAAATGTAAATTCTGTCAATTTTTTTCCAGCTAATAGACAAGTGAGCTTTATGTCTAGTTTCCTTGGCTGTCCCGTGGCTTCACTATGGAGGTTTCCTTGTTTGTCTGTTTGGCCTCAGGAAGGGGGCTAGTGAGACTTGGAGAGATTACGTACCTGTTCATATAGTTGTCAGCGACTGCTGTGTGGAGAAGTTGGTGGTTGTGCTAGGGGTTGACTCTTGGGGATAATGTCAGAAGCCACTGTAGAGCTATTTGCCTCCTGAGGCTTTAAGGTTCTAGTCTTATTTCTTAACAATATATACTTGATCACATTGCTTACTTTTCTGAGTCTGTGTATTTTCATTTAGAAACATGGGTTGTAACTACCCCACAGGATTTTCTGTGGGAAGTACATGAGATACTGTGAATGAAAAGTGATTGGTTATTTTATACATTGTAAGAGTTATGCAGGTATTTGTTATTATGCTGTATTCAAAACAGGGAAATATGCTTACTGTCTAAAACCTCTTAGTTTAGTTCAAAGTGGAGTCTGCTTTGTTGTGTTGTGCTTTCCTTAAAGTTACCTGAGGTGCTAGGTCCTATTGCCAGTCAACAGGAAAGGGAGCCAGAGAGAGCCTCTGCTCATTCACTGGCACAGGGGCTGAATGGCTGGCTCGCTCACCCATTCTGTCAGCTCTTTCTAGAAGGGAAGAGGAATGCAGCATAGCACTCCCATGACATTGTCTGTTCTCTCCTCACTATCACTCCCATGGCTTAAAACAAATAGGAAAGCCAAGTGAATAAATTAGGTTCTTTTGTGCTATGTACTTCTCAACACTTCTGACTGTTCAGGACTTTTGAATAGGTGAATAGTATCACTTGACACTGATTCACTCAACCTTCATACATGTCTCATGAAAGCCAAAAGATTAGTGCCTTCAGACCTTTACTGGGCCTTGACAAATAAAAATGAAAGGTAAATAAATAAGAATCCTGATTCCTCATGTCAGAATATGCTTTAACATGCAAACAAATCATGATACCAGTATTTACTTAAGGTCCTTTTTTTAGGTGCAAAAGCTTCAGGCTATTCTAAAGCCAATGATGTTGAGACGCCTCAAGGAGGATGTAGAAAAGAACTTGGCCCCCAAAGAAGAAACTATCATTGAAGTCGAGCTAACAAACATTCAGAAGAAATACTACCGAGCCATCCTTGAGAAGAATTTTACGTTTCTTTCCAAAGGTGGCGGTCAAGCTAACGTCCCTAACCTGTTGAACACTATGATGGAATTGCGCAAGTGCTGCAATCACCCATACCTTATCAATGGTAAGCCCGCCCCACGGGCCACTGCACCCCTCCATCCTGGGTTTGGTGGTCTTCATTCGTTACTGTATCCTGTCATCTCCGTGTGCGTTTCACTAGCTTCCTGTGCTTTAAGATGCCTCCGTTTGTGGTGGCTGAAAGTGAAGGATCATCGGCCCTGTCAATCCCTGAAGCAGGACGTCACCTCACCTCATTCTGCTTCCCTGCACTTCTCTAAGCCTCACACCTTGAAGGGAAGTGTTAGTGCTCCATGGCTGGAAATCATCAAAACTGCTAACAGTTAAAGAGAAATTAGTCCCTAATTGAGCTTTTCTTGCTGTGTATGTGCGTGCGGTTTTGAATCATTGAAGTTAAAGAGGAGCTTGGTGTGAGAACGCAGCTATTAGCTGTCCCAAGACATTGATAGTAAAAATTTCTCTCAGTCCAGAGGCCTTTACCAAACTTGCTCCCTAAGAATGGGATTAAACGCTGTGAAAATATGTAGTTTGTCCCAGTTACTAATGAGTACTTTGGTCTTCCTTCTTACTTAACTAAAGTGATAGTGTTACGTAATGGTTATGAGGAAAACCTGTATCATATACTCCAGAAATCATGGAAGGAATGAAGACTGCATGCCCATGATTTGTGAGTGCTCACGCGAGTACAAGAACCCTCGGTTTGTCAGGACTGCGATGAGGGGAGCCAGCGGGATTGAGGAGGGTTTGGGCCATCAGGGTTAGAAAAAGAAGAGAGAATTAGGCTGATGTATAATCTGAGCACAGGGCAGGAGGCAGGAAAGCGAAGGGGAGCTTGTCCACAGTATAAAGGACATGTGGGAGAGTGAACTGTAGGCATACTGGAACCCTGCTGTGGAAAGCCACGTAAGTGCTCAGTTATGGGTCTGCAGGCACTGGAGAACCACAGCTAGTGTTAGAGCTAAGAAATGATTAGCAGTGTGATTCGGGATGATTAGTCTGGGAACATCGTATAAAACAGATGGGAGAAGGGAAGACAACAGGCAGAAAGGCCAGCTTGGAGGCTATTGCTGCAGCGCAGGCCAGAGTTAACATGGGTCACATAAAAGTGGGGGCTGTCTAACCTGGGGTTGCTTGTCCACAGTTATAATTGGCCAGCAATGTAATCAGGTTCCTTTCCAGGGAAGAAGGGACAAAGGCTGCTTTTGTCTTTATCACAATCCATGGTGCTTGAGGGCAGCTAATTTAAAGAGTTCCTGATCTTTCTTTCCTGCCTAAATAACTTACAGACTCATTAGCCACCTCAGATCCAGAAGTTCTGTCATGTTATTAAATGACAAAGCAGTGCACACCTGGGAGACCGTGTCAGCAGGGCACCTGAGGTCATCGCGATGCTGTTACATCAGTAAATTTACTTTTCAAACTTTGTGCTTTTAGCTTTGTCTTCTAAAGAGAGTATCATGTGTGATAATTGCATGTTTAATGCTACCAACTTGTTAATCACCATGTGTTTAATAGCCTGTAAGGCCAAGATGGTGTGTATCAACCAGCTTGCTCCTGAGTTGCAGAAATGGAGTTGAGGCTTAGGGTGGCTGATGGTATGAGTAAAACACATGTGTGTGTCCACATGCCACACACACATATGCACACGCACACACACACACACTTTAGCGTATCTGATAAAAGAAAAATGCAGAATGGTAGTTTCCAAGGGTAAAGAAAATGCACTCAATGGAAGAACTTATTAAATGCTGCTGGCAGAAGGTGTATTAAAGGGAAGCTGTCGGCAGTGGCTGCTGGCTGTCTGTCCCAGTTCCACCAAGTTTATGTGGTCTGGCTACATGCTGATTTTGTGCATTGGCCATTGCCAGGGGAGAGTTCCCCCCAAACACTCCCAGTGGGTCTCTTCCTGGGCTAATGACTCTCAGGGTCATCCTATCTAATTCCTTGTTTGCTAGCAGGCTTGTAGGGTTTCCAGGGCTTGGATCTGTGTCAGTTGTTCTAATTGGTCACACTTTTAAGTTAGCTTTTCTGTCCTTATAGAAAGTTATGAATTGTCTGGTAAGCAGGTTTCCTCACATGCCTTAATGTTGTGAAACTGGGGAAAAAGAAAATACGCACATTAGGCATTACGGCTGCGCAGGTTACTAATGTAGATGTCGTGTTTCACAGAGGTTACTCCAGGCCAGCACTGTCCATTCTTATCCACAGTAGAAGTTACACTAACATGAAGCCAACATTGCACACATGTACTGAGCAGCTACAAGGGAGATTTCAGTTTTGGAGGTTGAATTTATATTATATTGGCTGTGGCAGACTAAAGCAGCCCCAGCCAAACCAAAGTTCAATTCAACGAAGCACATTTATATAACTGTGGAAAAGAGAAGAAACTATATATGTGTAAGTTGAGAGTGAGGAAATAAACAAAGCCAAAGGGGAAAAAAATCATTCAAACATTGTGGTGATAGAAAACAACTGTATGTAAATAAGAAATATTTTCAGTGTGCATTAATATTTTTATTTAAGTGCTTAGAGTAGTGTTTGGTGCCCTACAAGCTCTTGGTAAGTTGCTGCTAGTTTCTCTTACTGAAAGTTAAGGGGTAACTGGGTAATCTGAGTGGAATTGCTGTTTTGGGCCCAAGCTTTATTAGAATGGAATGTCCAATTTTAATAGGTCCCAATTTTAGTAGGTTGCCTATGTGAGAGTAAAAAAAATGTTGAAAACTTGGTCAGATTTCCCTAATGGTTAGGGGTGACTTATGAGTTGACTTATGAGGTAGGAGTGTAGAGAATAGTGGGCAGAAAAGAAACAAGACTGAAGCTCACATGATGGAATGAATTTCTGAGAGAAAACAGGAACTTGTTTTTTTCTGGTAATCTTCAAAAGAAAATAATGTCTTGTTTGTTTGTAGTAATATAGATAACATTGTAGTTACTGCCCTCAAAGCAACCATCTGTTTAAGTGAAAAGAATTCCACTCTCATTTTGAGTTCTTACTTCAGGTCAACACACACACACACACACACACACGCATTTTTAAACATAGTACAAGTAGTACTTTGATGTAGGGTAGTGCCAACAAAGTATTTTGGCTTATCACAATCGTTCCTAGTTAATTTTCTGATTGATATTTACAAATCTAATATCAAGGTAAACTTTAATTGGTGAACTTGTAAATTTGGTTATGACATTAAAAGGTAGAAATTACTTTCCTCCCCAACACCTTCCCTTCCTTCTTCCTTTTAGTCTGGCCATACTAAATATTGTGCTGCAGGAATCATATAGGAAATATGTTTTCTGATTTTTAAAAATGAAGTATTACTACTGTGAACTAGCTGCCACCTTAAGAACCTGAATTATAACAAAATCTGAATTAATTCAGTAACTTTTTGCCAGGTGAGAAGGAATGTATTTTAATTTTGACTCTTATTTAGAAGATGAGAAATTATTAGTGTTAGCATTGAAAAAGCAGGACAGTTATATATGTTTCTTATCTCTGAATAAATTTAAAGTGAAATAATTTTTCTGCTAGTTTGAATTATTTATATTTTCAAATTTCTTACTAAAATAATTCAAACATGTCATTGTCAAAATGAGTTTTTCAATTTTGAAAACAATTCATTGACTATTAACTTGCTTTAAAATACCATATTTTATGTTGATTAAAGTCCATTTCTCAGTTGTAAAAAGCTTATAGTATATTGTGTAAAAAGAACAAACTTTACAAATAGATGTAATATATAGACTTAAATCTGTTTCCCCTGTTCCTTGGGGGCCTTTTTGTCCTGATTTCTAAATTTCATGTTTGGGAAAACATTATTCAAGAACAATCCTTATTCAGGAAACTGCCTGTTAATTCTTTTAAACAGCATTTTGTTTTTTATCTTTTCCTAGCTAAAATCTTTGCCTTTTTCTCACTGAAAAAAGTCCTGAATATTAGTCTTTCATGTGGAAAAGGAGCGAGAGCCTGGCGATTCTGCCCCAGCTGGCATTTTCTGCCCTTCCCCCTTCATAACAAGTAACTCTGCTTTGCAGAAGGCCTTAGTTCTTGGTAAAGGCATTAAGTGACTTTAATCTGTTCTCAGTAAGACTCTTTGCTGATTAATAATTAACAAGCTGTATTTCTGCATATGACCATGTCATAATTTCCACAAGTGCCTTAAAATGGAAGCAGGATGACACTTTGTCCTATATTCTGCTGCTTGCAGAAAGACTGGCCTGACTGTGATGGTGGAGGCCTAAGTTCCTTACCTTTAAAACCCTTTGGAGGTTTCTGTATCCTCTTCTTGTGTATAATTCATTCACATGCTTAAAACCCATGGTAAGAAGAGCAGTTTAAAGTTTCTGGCACAGTTGAAGGCTGGGAACCAATCCCATTAGATGGACTGGTTTGTTTGTGTTTTCTAAAGAATAGGTGACCACATCCCCCATCCTTAGGGAGAGGCTGCTGAGCATAGCAGTCATGCCCCGATTAACCCCGTAGATGGGAGGAGGCCAGTCTGATGCTGCATAATTCTACTTAAGCCGCCTAAGCAGTTGAAGGAAGCTTAGCCTGCTGCTTCCTGAACAAGCGTATGCTTGAGGTCAGGGGAGGAAGCAGTAAGGGCCTCGTTCCTTAGGAAGATGTCATTCTCTTGTGGCTTCTCTGTATGATGAACCCAAGCCTTTGAACAAGCAGAAATCTGCTTGGGGTTATGAGAAAAAGAGGATTAGACATAGAAGACTTACATGAAATTTTTTTTAAAGCTTTGGATAATTCAAGATAGAATTTTTGTATACCTTATGAAATTGTCAACTGAGAATGAATGTGGAGGGAGATTTAGAGATTGCAATATATGTGTGCTCCAGTCCCCTTGAACAGTCCCTAAATATTATCCTGAAAAATGAATTCCCCTTTGTTACAACCCTTTTGGCTGTATTTGTATACAATTATATATACAAACTACTGCCCTTCCACTGCAATTGTTAGAACTCTATTCCCTTGTTTCCTAGTTTTAGAACAGATTTTGTTTCTTGTGTTTATATTCAACTAGGAAACAGCTCTTCATTTCTTTAGCAATTTAGGTTCCAAATTTTCTGTAGGTATCTGGCCCTTGGCTTGTTTCTGCCACTTCTGGCTTGACAGTCTGTTGTTGAAGTTCAGTTTCTACAGAGAGCAAACATTTATTTGTTGGAAAATGTGGTTTTCCCCCCCAAATGCCTAACTAAATGTGTTGTGCTTAAAACTTTGATCCCTTTTATACTTCATGCGGTTGTGTAGATCTTACTTTGAGTAAGTGAATGGATTCATGTTCATAAACATGATCATGGCATTCTGGTTCCTACAGTTTGCAGTGGGTTTTGAAAGCAAGTTCATTGTTTTTAGTAATAAAAACCTTTTACAGTATTCACATTATGCTGTCCAATCTCTGCAGGTGCTGAAGAGAAAATTTTGGAAGAGTTTAAAGAAACACACAATGCAGACTCTCCAGATTTTCAGCTCCAGGCGATGATCCAGGCTGCTGGCAAGCTCGTGCTGATTGACAAGCTGCTGCCCAAACTGAAGGCTGGTGGCCACAGGGTGCTCATCTTTTCCCAGATGGTGCGCTGCTTGGACATACTGGAAGACTACCTCATTCAAAGACGGTAAGGCCTCTATGCCATACAAATAAAAGGAAATAAAAAATGACCTTTCATGGGGTTCCAAGTGGTTCACCTCAAAGGGACATTTAGGATAAAGGGGACAGTGCAGAAAATGTATCACATCTCTTTTTAAAAACTGTAGATGTACACAGCAGTTACTCTGTATTGTGGCGACAGTAGGACTCCACATAGTTTTGTGGGCAGTTTTGTTTCCCACTTCTTTCATTTGGCCAGGGGAGAGTAATTCTTACCTGAAGTTGAGATTGTTTGTTATTTTACCGTTAGAAATGTTGGCTGTTTTTAGAGTTTAGGTGTTTCACTGGACAAGGAAGTAAAATTAAATTTAATCTTTGGGCATTTAACCAATAGTATGAAAAGCTGCAACAAAACCTGTTTGCTCTAAAAATTTTTTGATGAACACTGTCATTCTGTTGCTATCCCATATTGTATCCCATATTGTAATACTTTCTTAAAAATAAAAAAAAGCCACAAGTGATTTGTAGCCATTTATCAGGCCTCCTTGTTAATACTGACATTTTCTAGGTACCCCTACGAAAGGATTGATGGCCGAGTAAGAGGCAACCTCCGCCAGGCAGCTATTGACAGATTCTCCAAACCTGACTCTGATAGGTTTGTTTTCCTCCTGTGTACAAGGGCAGGAGGTTTAGGCATTAATCTTACTGCTGCTGATACCTGCATCATCTTTGATTCCGACTGGAATCCCCAAAATGATCTCCAGGTAAACATACTAGAAAATCTTCCTGCCACCTTCTTTGTTGAGCCATTCTCCAGTGATGGAAAATCCCCAGTCAAACCACAGTTAAATTTGGCAGTCACTCAGGCCGTGTCCTATGATCAAGGCAAATGAACCAACTGGTAATCAATTTAATGTTAGTGTAAAAGTAATTTCTTCATATGTTGACCCTCTTCTAAACTGCACCTGTTTATTGGAACAAATGCTTTTTAACTGATGATTGAGTCTTTTATTTCTTTGGTAGCCACTAATTTCCTTTTCCTTCCAGGCTCAGGCTAGATGTCATAGAATAGGACAGAGCAAATCTGTGAAAATCTACAGGCTGATCACAAGAAATTCTTATGAAAGGGAGATGTTCGACAAGGCTAGTCTGAAGCTCGGTCTGGATAAAGCCGTGCTGCAGTCTATGAGTGGGAGAGAGAACGCCACCAATGGGGTAAGCCACACCTGCCCACACTGGCTGTGTACTCTGGTTCCACTATTTAGCTAATGATTCAAGATAATTCTGGCACCTGATTATTTTGACCTCATTATTTCAAGTGTATTTTGTTGCATTTTACCTTTGTTATGATTCAGGTTTATCCTCTTTGAGAAGAATGAAGTATTTGTTTAGTCTACAAACCTTTTAACTCTAAATTATTTTAAATATTGCTCTAAAACAGGTACAACAACTTTCCAAGAAAGAAATAGAGGATCTTCTTCGAAAAGGGGCCTATGGTGCACTCATGGATGAGGAGGATGAAGGCTCTAAATTCTGCGAAGAAGATATCGATCAAATTCTCCTACGGCGAACCCACACTATCACCATTGAGTCTGAAGGAAAAGGTTCCACATTTGCTAAGGTGCGACTCCATCTGAAGAGCAGGTTCTCTGCAGAAGTGGGATAGAGTCCATGTAAGGCACCTTGGAAGGTGCTCATGTGATGCATACATAATGTTTGCTTTATGTTGAGAATTAAGAAATTAATTATTAACTCCCTATGGCATACCTAATGCATGAAACACTCTCTATGTTTAGGGTTCTATCCTGCCTCCTCTTGTCCTTCTGTCTGTGCCTGGTTCCCAGGCTATCCTTTACCTGTATTCTTGACTCCATCCTCCCTCTTCCTGAGCTCCTGTTCTGCCATCACCTTGTCCTTCTTCCCTGCAATCCTTGTTCTTGCTGTCGCTTATGAAAGCACTCAAGTCAGTCATGTCTTTGAAAGGTCTTTCATCTTTTTCCCACTCCAGCTACAGCTCTGTAACTCTTCTCTCATGGCCAAAAACCACACAAGCATCATTTACACCAGCTGTCCCCACTGCCTCCCTTTCCATTTATTTCAACTTCAGCCTCCCCACCCCCTTTCCACCACACTGGTGCTGGTGAAGGTCACCCCTAAGCTCCTAACCATTCTGCCCAATTCCCTTCCCAGGCTTCACCTGCGTAGTGTTCTGCCTTTACACACCCACACCCACTCTATTTTCATTTTTCACAGCTTTCTGGAATATAATTTGTTTATCATAAAAATCACCTATTTTAAGTGTATGATTCAATGTCTTTACCTATTTACAGAATTGTGCAACTGTTCCCACATCTGCATTCAGAATATTTCCATTATCCCCCAAAGATCCTGTTGCCCATTAAAGGTCACTCCTACCTTCCCTCCCCCTCCAAGTCCTTGGCAACCACTAATCTACTTTCTATCTTTGTGATTGCGTACTCTTGATATTTTATATAAATGAAATCATATAGCATGTGGTCTTCTTCATTCACTTAGCACAGTGTTTTTGAGGTTCACGCATGTTATAGCATGTGTCAGTAATTCCTTTTTTATTGATGAACAGTGGTCCACACACGAACATATGTGCCTATACCTTATTTACGAGTTGACTGATAATATATATTGGAGTTATATATCCATTCACTAGTTGATAATGAAATTTTGAGTTGTTACACTTTTTGATTATTCCGAATAATGTTGTTACAGGCATTTGTGTACAAGTGTTTGTGTGGATGTATGTTTAATTTCTCTTGTGTATATACCAGGAGTAGAATTGCTGGGTCACATGTTATAACTCCAGTTTATCCCATAGAGTTACTGCCAGACTATTTCCTAAGCAACTGCAATATTTCCTTTCCCACTACCAATATTATTAATTTTTTTTAAATTTATTTTTTATTTTATTTTTATTTTTTTTTGAGAGGGCATCTCTCATATTTATTGATCAAATGGTTGTTAACTACAATAAAATTCAGTATAGGGGGGTCAGTGCTCAATGTACAATCATTAATCCATCTCAAGTCTAATTCTCGTCAGTCTCCAATCTTCTGAAGCATAACGAACAAGTTCTTACATGGTGAACGAATTCTTACATAGTGAATAAATTCTTACATGGTGAACAGTACAAGGGCATTCATCACAGAAACTTTCGGTTTTGATCACGCATTATGACCTATAAACAATCAGGTCAAATATGAATATTCGTTTGATTTTTGTACTTGATTTATATGTTGATCCCACATTTCTCCCTTTATTATTATTATTATTTTTATTTTTAATAAAATGCTGAAGTGGTAGGTAGATGCACGATAAAGGTCCCACTACCAATATTTTAGGGTTCTAATTTCTCCACATCCTCACCAGCACTTTTTATGGTCTGACTTTTTGATCATGTGAAGTGATAGCCCACACTGGTTTGATCTGCATGTATCTGATGCTAGTGAGTATCTTTTCATGTGCTTGTTGCCCATATATGTATCATCTTCAGAGAACTATCTATTCAAATCCTTTCTTCATCCTTCGAGTTGTCTTTTTATTATTGAATTTTAAGAATTCTTTTTATATTCTGGATAAAAGTTCCTCATCAGATAATACAATTTGCATATTTTCTTTTACTCTTAACCATATTTAATTTTAATGAAGCCCAGTTTACTCATTTTCTTTTATCGTTTGTGCTTTTGGTGCACTGTCTAAGCTAAAGTCACAAAAATTTGCTCCTGTGCTTTCTTCTAACAGTTTTGTAGTTTTCATTCTTACATTTAGATCTATGACCCCTTTTGAGTGAATTTTTGTGTGTGGTGTGAGATAGGGGTCCAACTCGCTCATTTTGCACATGGACGGCCAGTTGTCCCTACTACTCAGTTGTCCCAGCTACTCCAATCTTGAAAAACTCTCCTTCTCTGGGCTCCATGATCCAACACCTTCTTCATGTCTCAGCCTTTTTTCAGATTCTTTCCTTAGTTCTTGTAGGCACTTCCGATTCAGTATGTGCAAAGCCAAATTCATCATCCCTGTCCCACTACCGTCTGTGCGTATTGATGCACACATACACACCTGTTTGTTCACCTGAGTGAAGTTGGATGCTGAGGTTTTTCCTGGCTTCTTCCTCCTCCTTCATGCTTCATACCCACCCAGATTCTAACTCCTTTAACTTTGCCTTTTAAAAGATATCTTTCTAGACTGTCTCCCTATCTCTGCTAGAGCTGTGTTCAGTCTTCGTTATTTCCTCCCTGAACTACTGCAATAGCCTGTTCCACTCTACTCTACCCTCCATGCTCCAAGATGCTGTGTGCTCTCTTCCCATGCTCATGATCACTCTAACAGGTGACTTTTGAGTGAATTTTTGTGTGTGGTGTGAGATAGGGGTCCAACTCGCTCAAGATTGTGTGCATCTTGAGTTTATGCCCATTTTCAAAGGTTCACTGCTGCCTCAGGATAGAGTTCAGACTCTTTGATGGACATGCAAGCCCTTGCTTGACCTGGCTTCTGCCTGCCTCACCAGCTTGACCGTGGGCTACTCTCCCTTGGCTACCTGTCCTCCTACCATGTGACATGGTTGCCTTTCTCCTCTGTGCCTTCGCACAGGCTCTGCTGTGAGCATTTCTACATGCTCTCCTATTCTCTGAGCCTTTGGTGATCTGGTTGAGGCACTGTATTCTGCAGTCTGTTCTCTCTTCCCAGCAGTGCCCTCCCTGCATGCCACCCCCACTGCCACCCCAGCCTGAACCTGGTTAGGGCCTCCTCTGTATGTCAGTTGCACATGTGAGCACCTTTGTGACCTACATTTATTATGTGGCACTGTCTTTGCATTTTGCCTCTGAGAAACACATCTGAAAGTAATGCATATTTTATCCCCTTTAGGCCAGTTTTGTTGCCTCTGGAAATAGGACAGATATCTCCTTGGATGATCCAAATTTCTGGCAAAAGTGGGCTAAGAAGGCTGAATTGGACATTGATGCCTTAAATGGGAGGGTGAGTGCGAGGTCCCACTCAAACCCTGTTTGATCTAACCCAGGGGCCACTTTTTCAGAAGCTTCAAATGGATTTGCTGTCTTTTTCAGAACAACCTGGTCATTGACACTCCAAGAGTGAGGAAGCAAACCAGGCTGTACAGCGCAGTGAAGGGAGATGAGCTGATGGAATTTTCAGACTTGGAAAGCGATTCTGAAGAGAAGCCTTGCACGAAGCCCCGGCGGCCCCAGGACAGGTCCCAGGGCTACGCAAGGAGTGAGTGCTTCAGAGTTGAGAAGAATCTGCTCGTGTATGGGTAAGTCAGACACACTGGAAAGACGGAATTTTATTTTTAAAAATGTTAGAATTCTAGTTTCCATAGAAAGACTGTATTTGTGTTTGGATTTCGGTGACTCCTCATAGTCCAGTCAGGCAGCAGCCTCTGCAGCCGCTCTCACGGGCAGTGGTTGTTCGGCTAAAGTGCTCAAAGTTGTCTGCCTCCTCATGGATTTGAGGGGGCACGAGCTCATCCCTTAAGGAGTTCTGTCAGAACCAGTTGTACTTCTCGATTGTTAGTAACTCAGAATGAAGTTTCAAAATCATTAAATCTTTTACTACTTTACCTTCACCTTAAATTTACAAACATGGTCATCTTCTAATATTTTCCTGCTGTAAAAATTTGTTAAAGGCAGTCATCTCAGTTGTAAAGCTCTTGCAGCTCATCTAAAGCATAAATGAATGGTCACCTCAGTTCTCTGAGTGTGTTGTATTCTCCTGCTGGACTACAAGCCCCTGAGAGGCCGGATCCAATGAACTGATCTTCACAGCTCCATGGCACTGCACATGGCGCATTGGACAGTCAGATGCTCAGTGAACATCTGAACCCATATATGAGTTCTCTAGCATAATGTGGCACTGTAGGCAAATGGCACTCAAATTTAAAATACTGCCAGCAAAACAATATTTCTATAGATCTGATGATATCCTGTCTTTGAGAATTTCTTCCAGTAGATCATTATGAGTTTCAGAATAAATGCAAACATTCTGTTAATGTGGCAACAGGGCTCTTACCTGGCCCTTGTCTGTCTCATTGGCCTTTTCCACAGGCAATCCAAGTTTCCATTAGTACTGACCACTTTGTCTCTGGAGTGCCCGTCTCTCCACAGGGGACCCTCTGCCCCACCCCCAGCTTGCCGACTTGATCTGCCCACCAGCTCTTATCCTTGGTGTCCACACTGCGCCAGAGTTCCCTGCACTCTCCGTCACCCTCAGTATGGTGTTTCATGCCTTTGAGGAGTCGGTCTCTCCTGCTTGAGTCCCATTGAGCAGCTCCTTGAGGACAGGGGCTCTTTCCTTGTGCCTTCGGGGCAGGGTGTGCACAGCGGACCCACAGTGAGAGCTGCATCTGTGATTACTTGGGGTATAAATGAAGGTCAACAGCTGAAGCCCATCCTGTGTGCCAGCAGCTCTGTCTCCTCTGCTAATTATCTGAGACCCTCCCTACCCAAGTCCTTTGCTACTTGCTCCTGCTTCCATGTTTCAACATAATGATCAAGGTTAGGAATTTTGCAGATACCTTTGAAATGGCACATATTAATAACTCCTGAAGCTAGGAAGTGTGCTTAGGGCATGCTGTCTTTCAGTAAAGCCCTTCCCTCCTCCCAAAGGCATCCCTGTGTGTTGAACACCTGCTGTATTCTGGGCACTGTGCTAGGAGACTCTCAGACTCCAGGGCTACAGCTGTGAGCAGGACAGTCACAGCCCCTGCCCTAGGACAGGCAGATGAGCAGGTAGGCACGGCAGGAAGCTGTGATGGTGCTGTGGCATGGACGCACTGTGCAAAAGCAGCATAGAGGTGTGCCTCCGCTCCGTTAAGGCACAGCTCAGGTATTACCCCCGCAGCTCGGGGGCTAGATGGGGCTGAAAGAAGGAATTCCATAGAAGGTGACATGTATAGCCTTTTACTCAACAGATATCCTGAATTAACTGGGGCAAGCGGGAGTGTTGGCAGGGAGGAGAAGAGAGTTCCTGGTGGGGAGAGCAGGGGGCCAGGGGCCTACCTGTGAGGGCCACGCCTCCACGTTGGAGGCACTGAGAGAAGGCACAGAAGCCAGAGAGGACCAGGCCGGGTGGAGAGCAGCCCTACCAGGGCTGTGCACAGCTCTTGGTTGTTGAAGAAGGCAGTGGGAAGGTTTGCTTCTCTCCTGAGCGCCGCCCTGGTGCTCAGTCAGCTATGACCTGGGGAAGACACAGTCTGGACACATCTGCCTGTCCATGGTGTGCGTTCATCAGCAACACCCCGATGGAAGAGTACAGAACTGTTCTTCCCTGAAATTATGACCCTACATAGATGGCCCAGGCTCCACAGTGTGCTGTTTGGCTGTGTCCACAGCCCTTTCTTCCACCCATTTTACCTCAGGACCTGAGAGTTGGCTGAGCATTTTTCCTTGGGGTTCCCCTGTACGTGGGACTCCCTATTTCAAGAGGAAACTCAAACCTGTTTGCAGTCTTGCTAGTCACCACGGCGGCCCTTTGAGGTTGAGGTATGAGGCATGCTCCTCAGCACTGCATCCCTGATTTGGGGGATGTCACACCCCCTTTGAGTCACTGTCACCTCAAATGGTTGGTCAGCATTAAAACATACAAGCCATGATAGTGTGAATCAAAGTATAAAGTGTCCAGGACCCGGCTTGCTCTCATGTCCCCAGAATTGCTGCCTTCCGTGAATCTAACTGACAGGCTTATTCCAGCTCAGTTGGCTTGATTTCTGTGGCAGTTGGGCTCCTGCACAGTGCAGCAGGGGATTCGTGGCCCACTCTGTAACAGGCCTTTTGACTCATGCCTTGGATGGCTTTCCTGTCACCTGATATAAAATACAACGAGTTGTGACCCAAGATTCCCTAACACTGCTCTTTGCCTGTGAAAGCAAAGCCCCAAGTCTAACCCTGAAAGGCACCATCTGCATGCTGAGTGTTTGCTTTGCAGTTGGGGACGGTGGACAGACATCCTTTCTCATGGACGCTACAAACGCCAGCTCACTGAGCACGATGTAGAAACCATCTGCAGAGCCATCCTCGTGTACTGTCTCAACCATTACAAGGGAGATGAGAACATCAAAAGCTTCATCTGGGATCTGATCACACCCACAGCTGATGGCCAGACACGAGCATTGGTTAACCATTCGGGTAGGTTGGCCTGATGTGCTTTGAGCCACAGCGTCACAGCACCACTGGGACCTCACACATCCAGATATGCCTGCCTCATACATCGAAATACCTGATTCTGACACAATCGTTGTGCTTGTAAAAAGCTCCTGTTCTTCTTACGATTCTAGGTTTATCAGCCCCGGTGCCAAGGGGAAGGAAGGGGAAGAAGGTGAAAGCCCAGAGCACACATCCGGTGGTGCAGGATGCCGACTGGCTGGCTAGCTGCAACCCAGATGCCCTATTCCAGGAGGACAGCTACAGGAAGCACCTGAAACACCACTGCAACAAGTATGTGTCGGGAGGGTGGGCGCGGGAGCATGCCATCCCGCATTCCTAAATGTCCATGTGTCACCGAGGCTGTAGAACTCTAGTTACTATCACTGCGCAACTTGACTGTTTTTCTGGAAACATGATGCCAAGTCACAGGACTGTGTAGCTTTAGATGACTGATGCATTTCATTGTGGTAAAGATACATAGACAATTTTACTGTTTTAACCGTGAGTATATATGATTCATTGGCATTAACTGCATTCAAAATGCCCTGTACCCAACATCGCCATCTATATCCAAAACCTGGCCCCAATATAAGCTCTGTGCCTGCCTATCGACTGATAACTGCTCCCCTCCCTAGCCCCAGCCCCAGGAGCCACTACTCTACTTTCTTGCTCTTGAGTTTGCCTACTCTAGGTACCTGTTAAGTGGAATCACACAATGTCTTTCGGTGTCTAGCATATTTCACTTAGCACAGTGTTTTTGATGTTCATCCATGTTGTGCCCTATACCAGTGTTCTATTCCATGTTATGCCTGAGTGATATTCTACTGTATATATAAACCACATTTTGTTTGTCCATTTATCTATTGACTGGCACAGTTGATGGACACCTTCTGGCTCTTGTGAGTAATGCTGCTAATGAACGTTGTAGATAACTAAGTTTTAACCAGTATGTGTTAGAAAATCAGGGTGCTTTACATGATCCCACCTTCCACTGACTGCTTCGCTAGAGGGACTGGGTGGGGACTTTACCTGTTACCTTATGCTTAATAACAGCTCAGTTGTTGGATCCTCTTTTTCCCACCCGTGAGCTTACCATCATATTATTGTATTTCCAGAACCCATTTATGTCTAATTAAAGAACAACTAATCTGACTTTATTTCATTGCTTGGACCTCTGCTAACTCTCCACCGAGTAAACCAACATCTACATGCTCTGAGCCTTTCCTTGCTCTGAGCATACGTGTCGCGCACATTGGCAGTGTGGCCGTGCTGCTCCAAACAGCCCCGCCACTGCCCCCGTGCCCCGCAGCTGTGGCTCACTGCCTTGTTAGTTACCTAGAGCTCTGCCACAAGGTCACAACTGGAGGAGGCAGGATAGAACTATATGTGTACCTCTCTTAACTAGTAGCAACACAAGTCTGAGCATGCACACAAAATTGCTGACAGTGGGCTGAGTGCTTCTCATGGCTTATCTGTCTGCCTTGTCGAAGGTATGTAGTGCTGTCTTTTTGCACTTACCTGATGAAGAAATGGCGACTCTGTGCTTAAGGTCCGTCTGCTAGTGAAGGGACAGAGTCAGAGTGGAAGGAAGCCCAGATGAGCCGAGGGCTCCTCCTTGTTCTCGACCACCCCGCCCACCTGGGAAGCCTACCCTCTCCTCCTCCCTGTAAATACAGTGGTGCTTTGATTGCTCTTCTTAGATTTTTGACTGGCAAATTCTTCTGCTTTGAGTCTGTCTTCAAGTCCATTACCTCAAAGCACTTTGGTAACTCAGGAACTGTTTTGTTGTTAACATGCTGTAGGGTAATAGTTTCCCTAAAATCCTGCCCTGCTGTAGGTGTTGGAAAATTTCTTTTTCATTGTGGTTTATGTGAACCTGAAGTCAACAGCCTTCTGAGTTCTGGAGTCAGGCAAACTGGAGGTGCTGGGGTTTAGGTGGCTCCTGTTCCCAGGCCCCAGTGTGATGGTGGTGGTTTCGATTTCCCATTCTGATGTCAGTAACAGATTTCCACAAGGCTACCCTCTCTAATTAGTATGTGAGATGTAACTAGTATTCCTCACAGCTTTCCCAGGGACTCAGAGGGAGACAGGCAATGCCTTCCATCTCCTCTGGGACGAGCAAGCAGTGCAGTCGGTCTTCCCCATAGATGATTGCACCGAGACACCACAGGATCTAATGTGAGGACATGTTTGTGACTAATCAGAGAGAAAATGAGACCCAAATTGAGGAACCTCCTAGAAAATAGCCAGCCAGTTCTCCTCAAAAGTTTTGAGAGAAAGAAAAAGACAGCAGGCATCTCAGATTAAGAGAAGACAACCAGGAGAGTGCCGTGCCGGTGTGGCCCTGGACTGGCTGCTGGTCCAGAAAGCAGTTATGGCGGAACAGCTGAGGGCACGGGAGGGAGGGCTGTGGGCCCATTAGCCGTCTGTCCCTGTGACTTGCCGAGTGCAAACTCCTTAGGGTCGGGGCTGCCTCCCACCCACCCGTCACCCTGCCAGTGCCACGGTGTTCCATAGGGACTCCGAGCTTGCCAGTTGCCTTGGTTTGACTTTTTGCATTTAGGAGAAAGGTGAGATAACTGACAATTTTCCTGATGTGGAAAACTTGTCTTCTATCAAAAGGGAAAGGAAACATTTGGATCACTGCCCTGGTACTGAGTTTTGGTGAATAATAGAGAATCCAGCCAAAGGTGGAGGGTATTTTCTTGGAGCGACCCTTTCTGAGCATCCTCTGTAAGGAGACCCTGGCCTGCAAGTTCTTCTCTAACCAGAGAAGAAACAGGTCCAGCCACAGAGGCCCATACTGTTACTTTTCTTTTGCCAGTTCAATGTGGCACAGCCCATTTTTAATCTTACCAAAGAGAGAAATCTTAAGAAAATAAAAATAAGGTGTCCCAAATGATTGCTCTCCTTGAAGCATATTCAGATATGTATGACCTCACACTTTGCCTCCTGGCCAGACACCTGGTGGTGGAGAGGAAGGCGCCTCCTGGGTGCTGGTATGGTCAGGAGTGGTCGGTTTGGGTCAATCTGCAACATCCTGGAGACGGTGGGAGGTGGCGGGGTGAGAAAGCCCAGTCCTGAGTGGAGTGTTCTGGGTAACTCTGTGACCTTGGGTATGTCCCTTGTATTCAACTAGCCTCAATGTTCACATTTATAAAATGGACACTGTAGCTTGCCCCACTTCATCACAGGCTTTGAGCTAGCATATGTAAGTGGGATGCATTGGCTGTGAAGTGCCCTGTGGCATCTGATGGGGTTATCCAGCCAGGAAAATAACACTTGGTATTATCATACATTTATGTCTAATTAAAGAACAACTAATCTGACTTTATTTCATTGCTTGGACCTCTGCTAACTCTCCACCGAGTAAACCAACATCTACATGCTCTGAGCCTTTCCTTGCTCTGAGCATACGTGTCGCGCACATTGGCAGTGTGGCCGTGCTGCTCCAAACAGCCCCGCCACTGCCCCCGTGCCCCGCAGCTGTGGCTCACTGCCTTGTTAGTTACCTAGAGCTCTGCCACAAGGTCACAACTGGAGGAGGCAGGATAGAACTATATGTGTACCTCTCTTAACTAGTAGCAACACAAGTCTGAGCATGCACACAAAATTGCTGACAGTGGGCTGAGTGCTTCTCATGGCTTATCTGTCTGCCTTGTCGAAGGTATGTAGTGCTGTCTTTTTGCACTTACCTGATGAAGAAATGGCGACTCTGTGCTTAAGGTCCGTCTGCTAGTGAAGGGACAGAGTCAGAGTGGAAGGAAGCCCAGATGAGCCGAGGGCTCCTCCTTGTTCTCGACCACCCCGCCCACCTGGGAAGCCTACCCTCTCCTCCTCCCTGTAAATACAGTGGTGCTTTGATTGCTCTTCTTAGATTTTTGACTGGCAAATTCTTCTGCTTTGAGTCTGTCTTCAAGTCCATTACCTCAAAGCACTTTGGTAACTCAGGAACTGTTTTGTTGTTAACATGCTGTAGGGTAATAGTTTCCCTAAAATCCTGCCCTGCTGTAGGTGTTGGAAAATTTCTTTTTCATTGTGGTTTATGTGAACCTGAAGTCAACAGCCTTCTGAGTTCTGGAGTCAGGCAAACTGGAGGTGCTGGGGTTTAGGTGGCTCCTGTTCCCAGGCCCCAGTGTGATGGTGGTGGTTTCGATTTCCCATTCTGATGTCAGTAACAGATTTCCACAAGGCTACCCTCTCTAATTAGTATGTGAGATGTAACTAGTATTCCTCACAGCTTTCCCAGGGACTCAGAGGGAGACAGGCAATGCCTTCCATCTCCTCTGGGACGAGCAAGCAGTGCAGTCGGTCTTCCCCATAGATGATTGCACCGAGACACCACAGGATCTAATGTGAGGACATGTTTGTGACTAATCAGAGAGAAAATGAGACCCAAATTGAGGAACCTCCTAGAAAATAGCCAGCCAGTTCTCCTCAAAAGTTTTGAGAGAAAGAAAAAGACAGCAGGCATCTCAGATTAAGAGAAGACAACCAGGAGAGTGCCGTGCCGGTGTGGCCCTGGACTGGCTGCTGGTCCAGAAAGCAGTTATGGCGGAACAGCTGAGGGCACGGGAGGGAGGGCTGTGGGCCCATTAGCCGTCTGTCCCTGTGACTTGCCGAGTGCAAACTCCTTAGGGTCGGGGCTGCCTCCCACCCACCCGTCACCCTGCCAGTGCCACGGTGTTCCATAGGGACTCCGAGCTTGCCAGTTGCCTTGGTTTGACTTTTTGCATTTAGGAGAAAGGTGAGATAACTGACAATTTTCCTGATGTGGAAAACTTGTCTTCTATCAAAAGGGAAAGGAAACATTTGGATCACTGCCCTGGTACTGAGTTTTGGTGAATAATAGAGAATCCAGCCAAAGGTGGAGGGTATTTTCTTGGAGCGACCCTTTCTGAGCATCCTCTGTAAGGAGACCCTGGCCTGCAAGTTCTTCTCTAACCAGAGAAGAAACAGGTCCAGCCACAGAGGCCCATACTGTTACTTTTCTTTTGCCAGTTCAATGTGGCACAGCCCATTTTTAATCTTACCAAAGAGAGAAATCTTAAGAAAATAAAAATAAGGTGTCCCAAATGATTGCTCTCCTTGAAGCATATTCAGATATGTATGACCTCACACTTTGCCTCCTGGCCAGACACCTGGTGGTGGAGAGGAAGGCGCCTCCTGGGTGCTGGTATGGTCAGGAGTGGTCGGTTTGGGTCAATCTGCAACATCCTGGAGACGGTGGGAGGTGGCGGGGTGAGAAAGCCCAGTCCTGAGTGGAGTGTTCTGGGTAACTCTGTGACCTTGGGTATGTCCCTTGTATTCAACTAGCCTCAATGTTCACATTTATAAAATGGACACTGTAGCTTGCCCCACTTCATCACAGGCTTTGAGCTAGCATATGTAAGTGGGATGCATTGGCTGTGAAGTGCCCTGTGGCATCTGATGGGGTTATCCAGCCAGGAAAATAACACTTGGTATTATCATCTATTCATTGCCAAGGAGGTAGTCTTCAGATACCAGTCCTGAGTGCACAGAAGGGGCTGTCCACAGGAGATGCTGGACTCGGAGTAGACACAGGTCTTTGTGAGTTACCAGGTGGGCTTTATTGAAACAATTACATTTAAGCCATTGAGAAAATCCCAAGTGAGATTAAAAATCCAGTTTTTAGAATTTCGTGGGTTTTTAAGACTGATTCCTTAAAAATGACTAAGAACTTAAATGAATTGGACACATTTTAATCTTGTTGGTGATATTTTATTACCATTTCTTAAGCTATAACTTAGGCTTCCAAGTAATATAAACTGGAAGGAATAAAAAACATTTAATATTCCTTAAGGGAGAAGAGTGAGGACCTACCCCGTGTCCCACCCCCACTGCCATCTTCCTTTCTCAGAAGCAAAGTTGTATAATCTGAAAAACCTGACATTCCATATTGAGGGTTTATTGTAAGGTAGTAAAACCAGATTTTATATCTCGTTTATTCCTACAACTTCTGATGTGCTTCCAAAAATGGTATTAAGGCAGCAGCTGAGGAAATTTTATGAGATAATGAAGCAGAACAGTTACTGAAAGCCATCTGCTCAGTTGTTTACAAACTTGCTTCAATACTTCAGAGGCAATGGTGGGGTACGTGTCTAAACTTCACAAGCTGCGCTAGGTAGAACCAAATGAAGTGCGCCTGGGCTGGGCTGAGCCCGGTCCCTCTCTGTGCAGTGTGAGCGGTTGCCAGGCAGGCCTGTTGGAAGCCAGCAGAAAGCACCACACAGAGGTGATTATGTGCCACCATCTGTCACGCTTCAAGCCTACCATACAGCATGGCTAATCAGCCTTGGCAGGATGATGGATGAACAGCAGCAGCTGCCAAAAGCCACTGTTGGCAAACAGTCCTGAAGTTAAGAACTTTTCCCCCCTCTGTCTTCCTCTCCAGGGTCCTGCTGCGCGTCCGCATGCTGTACTACCTAAGACAAGAAGTCATAGGAGACCAGGCAGATAAGATCTTAGATGGTGCTGACTCAAGGTTAGCTCAGATGCACATTTGCTCGGTACCTCTCTGTGATAATCTGGGCAGTTGGAAAACATCATGGATTATGTTTCACAACCTTCCTAAAACATTAGTGGTGCATCTCCTTTTTTTGCATTGGAACGTAATGTTGATTCTGTGAGCTGTTGAAGATGTGACAAGAATTGGGGAAAGCTGGTTTGTATGTACGTGTGTGTATAAAACATGGTGCAAACTAAATGACTGGTGTTGCAAGATAACCTTTAAAATGGGACACCTTGTGATAAAGTTCATTTCTGACCATGGTGGAAGTGCCTGACTTCTGCCCTTTTTTGTAATCTTTGCTTATTTCTCCACCACACTCAGAGGCTTATCATGAGAAAGGGGTACATGGGTACATGTATCATGTCTTTAGTTACACAGACTTTGTGTTTAGTAGTAGTGTATGTTTTAAGTATTATATAAATGGTTGTCTTTCTAGTGAAGCTGATGTGTGGATACCAGACCCTTTCCATGCTGAAGTTCCCACAGATTGGTGGGATAAGGAAGCAGATAAGTCCCTCCTAATCGGAGTGTTCAAACATGGTAAGTGATGTGTCTGTTTGACCACATCTTGACTGTGTGGCTTTGTCTTTATTTAGTGCTCTTTGCATACTCTTTTCCAAAGTCATAATATTAATGAGGATAGTTCCAAAGGACTCTTGGCGTGTACCATTTTCCTGTACTAAAAATCTAATATGAACTGTAAATATCAGATGCTGTTTTCGAATGTTTGTTGAGTATTTGAGAAGAAAACATTTCTTTCTTGGCTGTAAATAAAATGAAAACCATATTTGTTTTAATAATAGCCAAGTTGTCCTATAGCTCTCCCTAAACTTTGCTTCCAGCATGGCTCCCCTTGCTAGCTCTGCCAGCCCATGTCAAAGTGGATGGTGGGCTTAACCTCTGCTATTAATCTGTACAAGTGCCTCCTGGGCTTTGTTCCAAGCAATATTTCACAAATGTCAGTGCTGAGAACTCACGGCTCCCCTGAGTGGGATGCAGCCTTGTTAACTTTGAAAGGCTAGGGATGCAGAACTGGCATGATATATACAGTGAGCGATTCCTGATTATAATCCTGGTTCTCTGGAGGTCGTGGAGGTATTCTCAGCAGCCCAGCCTGACTAAAGGGGAGAATGATGGCTTATAAAACCTTTCATGATTACAGTTTGGCTTGCGGCTCTACAGCAGTTAGGAGTGGTGTGGTGTAGTACACATCCTAATTGAATTGTGCCATTCTGCCTATGTACTGCAGCCGTGTTTTGTGAGCTCAGCCTAAAAATCATTTTCCCGCAGTGCACTGTTGGGATCTGCCATTTTCCATCTAGTCAACTTGGGCAGTCAAAAAGCAAATTGCAGTTTGAAAACCATAGAGGGAACAGTGTCATCTTACTGACATGCATCATCCTAAACCTGATAAGACAGGTTCGCTGGCCTTAGGAAGATAGGGATTTTCAGCCAGTGGTGCAAGTTCCTGCAGGAGTGAAGCTGTACACTGTTCACGAGGAGGATAGGGTGGACTCAGTACACTGCAGAGGTTGTAAAAGAACATTATGAAGGCTTAAATGTCAAGCAAAATTAGATTTGGGGGAAAAATAGGGTAAAAAATCTCTCTAGGGGTCTTGCAGTTATTCTGAACCTGTTTTGCTGTTAGTATTTGTGGTTTTCCTGATAACATACCTGAAATGTAACTTGCCCCCCCAAAATCTGCCCTGGAGTGAGTGTTCCATAGAATGCTCTACTAAAACATGGTTCATTTAAGTGCACCATAAATGATAATCTCAACTGAGAAGCACGCTTCGCCTGTTGCAGCAGTGCTGTGATTTTGTCAGTGACGGGCCTTTCCTCATTTCTGTGTGTGTCTTCTGGGCTGGTGGGGACAACACAGGCTATGAGAAGTACAATTCTATGCGAGCTGACCCTGCGCTGTGCTTCCTGGAACGAGTTGGCATGCCCGATGCCAAGGCCATAGCTGCAGAGCAAAGAGGAACAGACATGCTAGCAGATGGTGGTGACGGGTAAGAAGGACATTTAAAAATTTTAATAAACTTTATGTCAGCATTACATCTATTGGCACAGTTTGCTTCTTATACTGCACTGTGTATTACATTGCATCTGATTTGAACTTAAGTGATGTTTACCAGTATAGTAGATTTGTACATCATAATGACTGTTTAAACACAATATAGTATCTAGATAATCTGAAATTTGTTTGTCTTTTCCAAATAATGACAGTCCCTTCAACACACTCATGCCTCCCCTGATAGCTACACGTTTCAAATAATGATAGAATCCTTTTTGATGTCCAACCCAGAATTAAAAATAGCATTGGGCAGATTATTACTCCTTCCCAAGCCCCCTTCAGTCTCTGCTTATAAGGATGACTTAAACATTTTTTAAATTTCTATATAGGGGAGAATTTGATAGAGAAGATGAAGACCCAGAATATAAACCAACCAGAACGCCATTCAAGGATGAAATAGATGTAAGAACTTGAGTATATTGACTTTAACAGCACCATTAATATATGCCCATATAAGACTTGTTAAACTTTATAGATAATGGTCTTTTCTTTAAAAGGTAAAGCAAAATAAAACTCCAAGTGAAAATAATTCTGTTTTTTTCTTTGCTTTTAAGGAATTTGCAAATTCTCCAGAAGATAAGGAAGAATCCATGGAAATACGCACCACAGGTTAGGCTGCATAAAAGCCCACGGAACCCAGCAAATGTGTGCAGTTCAGGCACATTCATGCATCAGGCAGGGGCTTCGGCTTCCTTGTGATGGGAGCATCTTAAAATGTTATTTCTTCAACCTGATTCATTCCTTTTGTAAATAATTTTATGTATTGTTTATCATTGATTTTTCATTACATTGAATTTCTTTTATAACATAATTACATTCTGAATTAAGATAATTTATATATTTATTTTATACCAGTTAGTGAGAACATTTTGGTGTCTTTAGAAACATCTCTTGAGAGTTGAGCATTTACTAAGTATCTGAAATACTGCCAGTTTATGGAATGCTGACCTTTTGTATAATGTAAAACCATTAGCTAACAATTATGTGAAAATTTTTTATGTTCAAGATTATTATTCTCAGTATATCACAGGAGAGCCCCCTTATAATGTAGGTCATGGCATAGAGTATGTTTCTTTATGGAAAACTGAAAAATAAATCATTCCCTCCCCCCCTCCCCCCGAGGAGTTAAAAAAAATAGTATATAAATTTCATACTAGTATTATTCCTTATTTTTATTTTAAAAACAAGGGCACCAAGATGCCCTCTCTCCTACTGTTATTTGAATGTTAATGAGTCATCTTGTTCTGATGGAAAATCCTGTATATTGCAAGATTGCAGCTACACATTTCAACAATATTTTTCCACTTCCCTAGGCAAGCACAGTGAGAGTAATGCTGAGTTAGGCCAACTTTACTGGCCTAACACCTCAACCCTGACTACCCGTCTGCGCCGGCTCATTACTGCCTATCAGCGCAGCTATAAAAGGCAGCAAATGAGGCAAGAGGCCCTAATGAAGACTGACCGGCGCAGACGGCGGCCTCGGGAGGAAGTGAGAGCCCTGGAAGCGGAAAGGGAAGCTATCATATCTGAGAAACGGCAGAAGTGAGTTTCTTCAGGGTTTTACTCAGCTCCTGGTACATTCCTCTCTTCCCTGCTCTTCTAGGTCTGCAAGAGGCAGGAATCCCATCTGAGAGAATGACTGTCAGAGAGCCTCAGTATATGAAACAGTCAGTCTCCCACCCCCCAAAATAAGTACTATGTATTAAGTTTAGGGGAAAAGAGGAATTATTTTGAAGGAATAATAATAAGCTTTAAGCCTTTCATCCCCAAGTGCAATCCAAGCTAATGTCTTTTTTCTGATAGGTGGACAAGAAGAGAAGAGGCTGATTTTTATCGTGTGGTGTCCACTTTTGGCGTTATTTTTGACCCCATGAAACAGCAGTTTGACTGGAATCAGTTTCGAGCCTTTGCCAGACTTGACAAAAAGTCTGATGAGAGTTTGGAGAAATACTTCAGTTGTTTTGTGGCCATGTGTAGGCGGGTGTGTCGAATGCCCACTAAGCCAGATGATGGTAGGTTCATTTGGTAACAGAAGTTCTATACTGAAAGGCCAATAGAGTGAAAAATAAGAGAGTGAACAATTTAAAGCATACTTGGGTTTTTCCTAAGTAAATACAGTTGTTTCTCTGTTGCAGAATCACCCGACCTCTCCTCCATGATTGAGCCAATCACAGAAGAGCGTGCCTCCAGAACTCTCTACCGCATTGAACTGCTGCGGAAAATACGCGAGCAGGTTCTTCACCACCCTCAGCTGGGAGAGAGGCTGAAGCTCTGCCAGCCGAGTTTGGAGCTGCCCGAGTGGTGGGAGTGTGGAAGGCATGACCGAGACTTGCTGGTTGGTGCTGCGAAACATGGGGTCAGCCGGACGGATTATCACATCCTCAATGACCCAGAGCTGTCCTTCCTGGATGCACACAAAAGCTTTGCTCAGAACAGAGGGGCAGGTAACATATCTTCCTTGAACCCACTGGCTGTTGGATTTGGCCAGACGCCCACAGTCATCTCATCCACCCACGTCCAGGATGAGAAGGTGATGGGACAAATGGAAGGCAAAGTGGAGGAGCCCAGAACCACAGCTGCTGCAGAGAAACCTGAGGCGAAGGAAGAGGAAGAAGGACCGGACGGCAGGGAGAAGGGCAGCAAGCAGGGCTGTGAGGCCGAGGCTGGCTCTGTGGGAAGTGAGCTGAAAGGGGTGGAGGTCAGTGCAGTCTCAGGGCCCAAGTCTATTTCAGAAAAAGGTTCTGAAGAGGACGAAGAAGAAAAGCTGGAGGACGATGATAAGTCGGAAGAGTCTTCCCAACCTGAAGGTAATGCCCAGCCCTCCAAGCCTTGCCCCCAACACAGTGGCAGTAGTGACACACTGTGTTTCCATGTCACATGACGAGAGCTCGTGTTTATTTTGAAGGGAGATTAGTGTGCATTTTCTTCTGTGAAGGGTTCATTTTGGGGTATGCTTAGATGTATGTTTTGCTCTGATATGGGATGTAAGCAGTATTTCAAACACCCTAAAAGCTCAGAAGAGTTTTATGGACACGTGACAATTTCTGGATTTAGGATGGGGGTCAGTTAACTTCAGAGTAGGAGCATATTGAGAAGTAGTTTTAATTTGGATGGCTAAATGTGAGGAAGAAGAATCATTCACTGAGTAAATACTGGTAATTATTTTAGCACAAACAATGCTTAATTTATTTAGCTTTAGTTCAGAAGTAAAGGGTAGGCATAGAATTAGAAAACAACCAGTTTCTTTCTAAGTCACAGTTAGGCTGCTGTACCTGGCACAGAGTAGAACCAAGGTGGACTAAGGTGCTGTACCATTCTGTTCTTTGGAACTAGAGCTTTGAACGTGAGCCAATGCATTAATCCTTTTCCCTGTGAGGAGGGACATAGGCTCTTGAGTGAAAGACTTGGTTGTCATTCAGCCTCCTCTGAGATTTACATGCAGGATGTCAGATGACTAGTGGTGTAACCTCCCTAAATCTCTGCTGTTTCATCTATAAAATGCAAATAACACTATCTACATGAAAGGACCATTGAGAGCTTTAAGACAAGATTTGTAAAATGCCTGACACCATTCTAGCCATATAGTAGCTACTCAGTGAAATGGAGCTGATTGGTATTCAAATTTTTCATCATGTCATCTCTAAACTTCTGTTTCAGTCATAGACTGGTTGTGAGTGATGCACATTAACTCATTTCTCAGCAGGAGCTGTCTCTAGGGGGAAGAATTTCGACGAAGAAAGCAATGCCTCTGTGAGCACTGCTAGGGATGAAACCAGAGACGGATTCTACATGGAGGATGGGGACCCTTCAGTAGCTCAGCTCCTTCATGAAAGAACATTTGCCTTCTCATTTTGGCCTAAGGTTGGTGGGTTCTTTGGTATTTTGTTTTGTTGACAAAAAAAAAAGTGAAGGAAATTATTGTAGGGGGATTCGCTAATTAATTTTAAGGTAAACTTTGATGTAGTGGATGAAGACTGTAGATTTTTTCTTATGTCTTAAAGAATGATCTGGAAAAGCCCAAAGTAAAAAGTCTATAGAATACGTTTTATAATAGGATAGGAAAATCACATGAAGAAAAGATAGTAAGAAATAGAAGTGTTCATATAGATCTGTGGCTCCTTGAGAAGATTTCTTAGGTTAGTAATAATGTTGTCCAGTTTAATCTATAGATTATTATTTCAACAGACCCACCCTTTGGCAAAATAAAATGTGTGGACTTTGTTTTTGTCATGGTGGTAAAAAACACATAACATGAAATTTAGGATCTTCACCAAATTTATGTACATTTCAGTAGTTTTAAGTATATTCACATTTGTTATGAAACCAATCTCCAGAACTTTTTATCTTGCATGACTGAAGCTTTATACCCATTAAACAGATCTCCTTCCCTTCCCCCAATCCCTAGTAATCACTATTCTAGTTTCTGTTTCTATGAATTTGACTATTTTACATAGCTCATGTAAGTGGAATCATGCAATATTTGTCTTTTTGTGATTTGTTTATTTCACTTAGCATAATGTCCCCAAGATTTATCCACATGGTAGCAAGTGACAGGATTTCCTTCCTGTTTAGGGCCAAATAATATTCCATTGTATAATTACACCACATTTTCTTTATCTGTTCATCCATATTGGGGACACTTGACACTTGAGTTCCTTCTACCTCCTGGCTTATTATAGTGCTACTATAACATGGGTGAACTAATTTATTTGAGATCCTGCTTTAATTCTTGTGGACATACATACATAGAAGTGGGATTGCTGAGTTATAATGTAGTTCTAATTTTAATTTTTTGAGGAAACTCTGTAGTGTTTTCAATAGTAACTAGCCATGTACAATCCCACTAACAGTGCACAAGGGAAAATGTGTGGACCTTAAAAATTGTTGCTTTAATTTTTTAAAATATGAAGCAGAACTTTCAGATTTAAGACAACTTCATATATTTGGAAACTTACAGTCTCCTTAACTTGGGAGAAAGGTGGGCTATTGGCCCATTTGCTCCAATATATTATGAGATAATTCCAAATGCAGTGATCTATAACCAAAAGCAAAGTAGAAATTATTTTTTGGCTAACTAGCATAATTTTGTAATAAATCCCTATGTGCTTTGGGCCTGTTTTTCAGGGTGGGGAAATAATCACTCTGTTCACCATAACAGGGATGTCTGGTTAAACCAAGCAACACTGAAGCGGCTTCAGTTGACTCATCCCTAGATTGCTCTTGCATAGTGTTGGTTGTGTAAGAAACAATGTGAAATTTTTAACTGAAGAGTGTACTATCAAAGATAACTTTCTCTCTGTATCCCTGCTTATTTCCCCCATTACACTAATCTCCTTTATTGAGTATAGAAGGGAGTTTCCCAGATCAGTCAAAAGGTCTTTCATAGCAGGCACTTTTAATCTGTGGAAACCAGGCCTAAGAGCTGTAATTAGAAATTTTTAATGTACACGCTTCAATGAAGTTTGAAGTGGTAATAAGTGGAGAATGCAAATTGACATTCATTAGGTGTTCCTAGGTTGGTGCCCATTTCATAATGCTGAACTTTATTAATAGTGACGCTAATGATGTCCCATTTCCTGGGACAGACTGCAACCCAGCCTGTGGATCTGAAGCTTACCAGAGCATCAAGAAGCTAAATGCAGGGCTCCGTAGTTACTGCAGACGTTCCCCTATGATTTGTAATGTTTTCTAATTTATGTGATTCAGTGTTGGCAACTGAAAAATACTAAGTTTTCTGTCCTGGGGCCACCCTGGGACCTTCCATGAGAGGAGCAGTTTGAGTAGATTTTGTTTATCTCCTTGCATGTTTTTTGTTTTCTTTTATGTTTTGCATACTGTTGACTTTTCAACATTTTATGTTTTTGAGCATCTTGGTGGAAATATTTCTCTAGCAGTTTTCACCAGGTCTTTGTTACAATTTTGTGTGACTCTTCTTCTCCCTCCAGGATCGAGTAATGATAAACCGATTAGACAACATCTGTGAAGCAGTGTTGAAAGGCAAATGGCCAGTAAATAGGCGCCAGATGTTTGATTTCCAGGGCCTTATCCCGGGTTTCACACCACCCACCATGGACAGTCCCCTGCAGAAGAGGAGCTTCGCTGAGCTCTCCATGGTTGGCCAAGCTAGCATCAGTGGAAGCGAGGACCTCCACACTTCGCCTCAGTTGTCAAAGGTAAGTTAGAGCAGCTTGTGTTTGGCGGTTTAAAAGGAAGCTCTCTAATTCTTCACTCAGTTAGGAAACTGTGTTACCCTCCTTCTGCTTAGAAATAAGATGGCTGCTATTGCTCAAAGCTTCTCACCAGTCATGAATGTTTAATTCCTTAAGCTGCTTGTTCTCTGTTTCTGCAAGCCAGCCCATAGAGCAGATACAATTTTCACTCATTACTTTTTTGGAATTTTTCAATAGGAAGATGCCCTCAACCTCTCTGTCCCTCGCCAGCGGAGGAGGAGGAGGAGGAAAATTGAAATCGAGGCTGAGAGAGCTGCCAAGCGGCGAAACCTCATGGAGATGGTTGCCCAGCTGCGGGAGTCTCAGGTGGTCTCAGAAAATGGACAAGAAAAAGTTGTAGATTTATCAAAGGCCTCAAGAGAGGCAACAAGCTCTACCTCAAATTTTTCATCTCTTACTTCAAAGTTTATCTTGCCTAACGTCTCAACACCAGTGTCTGATGCCTTTAAGACTCAAATGGAACTGCTCCAGGCAGGTCTGTCACGCACACCCACAAAGCATCTGCTTAACGGCTCCCTGGCGGGTGGAGAGCCTCCCGTGAAGAGGAGGCGGGGAAGGAGGAAAAATGTGGAGGGCCTCGACCTGCTTTTCATGAGCCACAAACGGACACCGCTGAGTGCAGTAAGTTCAGGAGCTCACTTACATTGTATGTGCCCACACTGACAGCCAGGTGCCCTCCACTGCTGCTGGCTCTAGTCTGTGTTCCTCTGAGTGACATGGTGTTAAAGCTGGCTTCTTCCACAGTGAAATAGAATTACAGTGGACAGAGTCATGGTTCTGAGCTGAAAAACGGTGGTGACCATTGATACGTAGAGGTCACTTGGCCTGAACCAAATGTAGCTTGAGGATTTATTCTTCCCAAGATTCTGGTATATTGATTACTCTCGGAAGACTAGCCTGAAACAAAAACATGTTCTTCTGAACCTATGATTGTTATCTCTGAATTCTTGAGGAGGAAAAGCTTCTGCTCTTAAATATATTGATATCTTTTGGGCCTGGTGTTTATGAGATGAATACAAATGTTCAGTTTTAAGATGTAAGATTTATTGTTGTCTGCAAAGCTAGCAATTGCAAATTCTCCTACCTCCACAATTACATATTTTAAAAAGCTTAACTGAATGAAGATCTATGCTAGTTTAGGTTCAAATGAAATAACATGTGCCAATGGATTTAGATGTTTTCTTTTTCAATTCAAAGGAAGTAAGTGTAATCTAATTCTCTTCCCTAATTGGCTTCCTTCCCTCCACCTGAAAATGTGCCTCCTAACTAACGCCAAGGGTCTCACCCCAAAGAACCTGATCACATGCAGTCCCTTTTAAAAGGGCTAACTAGTCCTAGATATCTTAAGCCTATTGGTTTGCAATCTGAATTAGCACAGTGGTGCTGGAGTTCACTGTGGGTGAGGAGCTATCCCTCCAGGAATGATGGGCCTGTGCCTTTGACAGCAGGACAGTTTGGGAAACACTGAAATTTGAAACTGAGGAGAGACATGTTTCAATATGTTTTTCCTTATTCCACCCATGTTATTATTTGCCCATTTTCTATTTCTTGAACCCAGAGAAAGCTTAATAACTTAAAAGGGTAGGAAGAAGTATGGTTGAATTAAAGTCTAGAAATGGCAAAATAGTATTCACTGAAATTTGTCCATTGGTCAGGTCTGATTGACAGAAACATACAGGTGGTTAAAAGTTAATTTAAAAAATTCATTACCCAATGCACCATTCATCATGAGAGTCATTTTTGTTGAACATATGATTATTTTTAAATTGTAAAAACATACGTCATAATGGATCAGATGTTCCACAAGTTAAAATGCTATTTCTAGGTATGTGAGTCCCAAAGTTGTTTAACTAGCAGTTAGCCTTTCTGCTTGAAACTACCCTAGCACTTTGATAGATTTTGATAGATTTTGTTCACTGAAGATCCTTTCTCTGTAACGATTGACAAACTGAGGAATTCCTGTAGTTCATACCTCTTCTCACTTACTATTATGTTTAATATTTGAATTAATATTTGAATACCGTCTGTGGAATTAAGAGTACACCCCATGTGTTCTCTTCCCCTTGGAACTGCATACCCTGTATTGAACTGGAGGCTAACTTTATTCATTTCACATGTTTTAAGCTATCCCTAAGAATTAATTGATATTTTTCTTTTTCTAAAGTCACATTTAACAACTTGGCTCAAAATTCCTAATAGATATATAGAGAATTAATTTTTTAATGTCAGATGTTGGATGATTTGAAGATTTGTTTGGTGTTGTAGAGGGTTATATGCATGCATATAGGAAAACACTGATTACTCTATAAATAAACAGCAGTGAAGAAGCATAAAGGTTGGTAGTATATGGAACAAGACAAACCCTAAAATCTTGTATTATGTCAGCATTCCAGGCAGAGAAAATTTTGTGCTGCTGTAAAAAGTAGGGTGCAGTCAGCAGCATTGTGGAAGCCAGCTGTGCCTTCTGTGCCAGGGCCTGGGATGCGAAGAACAAAGGCCCTGCAGGTGTTTGCACTAGGGAACTCAGTGTTAAGATGGGTGACAGATAAATAATGTATCATGGTCCTGAGGCATGGGTGGGCTACTTTGTTGAGCCCAAGGGAATAATGGAATAGAGGGAGGAGGGTACAGGGAGAGGCAGATGAGGAAGTTTCCCTACATATGGTCATATTTCGGTTAAGTTTTGGAGATTGTGTAGGGCTTGATCATTTGAAAATAGGGGGAGGGGAGAATATATGCAAAGGGACGGAGTCCAGAGAGAGCCTGTTGTGTCTGGTGAACTACAAGTTACTGGCCAGGGAGCTTGGGGAGGAGGTAATGTGAGATTCAGCAAGAGGAGCTTGGAGATGAGGTCAGATGCAAATTGTGGAGGGCCTTGATTGCTATACTGAATAGCTTAGATTTTCTATCCTGAAGGAGGTGGGGGTTCAGTCACCAAAACAGCTTAAAACAGGGAGTGATATGACATAAGGTTTTGAACTAAGAAGTGTGCATTTTAGAAAACTGACTCCAGCATAGCAGTGCAGAGTTTGGATTAAACAGGTAGCATTTTAGTCAGGGAGACCATTTGGGAATACCGCTGTACATGGGTGGGCAGTGAAGACCTGCACCAAAGTAGGAGTAGTAGGAAGGAACAGATGAGCTGGCAGAACAGATGTCTGGAGGTTGAAATAACAGTCTTTGAGGACCAGTGGCTGGATGGTGGTAGGGTCTAGACTTCAGTTAGGTTTATCTTGCCACAAAGACCTATACAGAATATTATACTACCAACAAAACTGTACAGTTCACAGAGTAGCCAAAAGGTATGTATAAACTGGCTCTTGGAACATTCCTTTAATTATAGTTTCTTTAATGATGTCATCCAGGGATGCCCAAGAGAGACTGAGAGGCTACCTTTCATTTATATGAAGCTAAAGACTAGAACACCCTGTTGTATTCCCAGTGGCTTGCTTAAGATCTCAAACATGGAGCGTTCGTTGATGGACTGTGAATTTTCTACCTAACTGCAAATTCAACAATGTGAAGAATGACATTAAAGTTTTTTTTTCTAATTTAATAGCTGTTACAAAACTGATATTGTTTCAAGTAACTTTTTTCCCTTTTTGCTCAAAAGATCTGTTATACTAGGGTAGTAGTATTCTGTTAGGATAGGACACTGTTAGAATCTTTCTTTTCCTGTGAGAATTCCGACCATTGTCAACTTTCTGCAGGAGGATGCTGAGGTGACCAAAGCTTTTGAAGAAGATATAGAGACCCCACCTACAAGAAACATTCCTTCTCCTGGACAGCTTGACCCAGACACGCGGATCCCTGTTATAAATCTTGAAGATGGGACTAGGCTGGTTGGGGAAGATGCTCCTAAAAATAAGGATTTAGTTGAATGGCTGAAGCTGCATCCTACTTACACTGTTGATATGCCAAGTTATGTACCAGTAAGTATTACAGAGCCCAGTGTTGGGAGGAATCTTGCTAGGATAGTCCATTTTATTCTCTCATACGGCATAAAAATCCCTGTTCCCTGTGCCTTTTGCTTGTATTTCTCATCTCAAAGGTTTCCCAGTTTTTGTCATTGTGTACTTTAGAGAAACTGGCTTCAGGACAGCTCTGGAGTTACTTGAAGATGCCTACTATGCATTTCCTTACTTTTTTCTTCTCCCACCAACTAACATAATTTTTTCAGTTACCTTTACATGGTGTGGTTTCCAGGCAGTCTCTTTATTGGGATAATACTCATGGATGTGCTTCAGTGGGCTCCAGACCAGGTCTGATCAGCACAGCATACTAGGACCTGTTACTTGCCGAGATTTGACCAGCTAATGCAGCCCAAGATTTTATTAGATTTTTTTTTAAAGCAACCTTTAAAACATGTTTTTTTAAAACATAAAGGTTTTTAAAACCTAAATGTAGGATTTTACATTTTATTTTATTGAGTTTAGCCTGAGTTGAGTTCTTGCCACTCAGAAGGCCTGCTCCTGCAAAGGTCCTCCCATCCCTTTGGTTGGTTCTCCTCATGAACAGTCTTGTGTCCTAAACATGATTCCTCTGTATTCATTCAAGTCACTGAGTTGAAATTACCAAAATACTAAAGAAAGTTTCATTTAAAAACACCATGACTTGGTCAAACATTTGGAGAAAAGACTTTAAGCAAGGTTATTGATAGACCAAAGGAAAAGCAGATTCTCAGCTTACTAAATGTTTGTTTAGTTCTCTCATGTACTGGGAAAAATATAGTTTTCAATAATCAAAATGGTTCTTGAAACTTTCATAGTAATTGAAAATAGCTTGACTGTTCTCTTCATCATTTATAAAGGAAAGAATAAGTCCTAGGTACAGTTTTTCTAAATACATTTTTCTTTTTTGCAGAAGAATACGGATGTACTGTTTTCCTCATTTCAGAAACCGAAACAGAAACGACACAGGTGTCGAAACCCTAATAAATTGGATATAAACACTTTGACTGGAGAAGAAAGGGTGCCTGTTGTCAATAAACGAAATGGGAAGAAGGTAAATGCTGGGGAAGGGATTTGATACCTATGTGATTTCTTATTCCAGGAAAAAGTGTTTTATCCTGACATCCTTTATAAGGAAAAAGAATCATGTTTCTTCCAGAACATGTATATATGATATGTGTATGTATATGTGCATATATGCAGATGTGAAGGGGAAGAGGGAAGAATTTATGTGTTTTAAAGTCATTTTTCAAATGCCTCTCAGATGGGTGGAGCTATGGCACCTCCAATGAAAGATCTACCCAGGTGGCTGGAAGAAAATCCTGAATTTGCAGTTGCTCCAGACTGGACTGATATTGTTAAGCAGTCTGTAAGTACAAATCCTGCCTTTCTGCCAAGAAAGGGTCTGTACAAAACAGTTTCCCTGAATTTTTCTTTATTTTCTGTTCACCATTTAATTATTCAATTATAACTTATTCTTAGCTTTAAAAAATTGTAAGCTACATTTTCCTACATCATTAGTACATCATCATTTCTTATATCAATGAATCAATCCAAAGTGAATTAATTTGACAGCTGTGATTTAAAACAATTGCATAGAAATACACATTTGTGGTGTTGAAAGTAGATTTACTACAGTAGGAACACCCCAGGTAAGTCTACTTAACAGACCATCTGTGGAATGGAATTTATGGTAGTTGAGACCATTAAGATTAACTGTGATACCTGATTTGAAAATAAACATAAAAAAATACAATTCTGCCAAACCTTTTTTTCTATTTCTTTGTAAAATTAGCAGTATCTTGATTCTTTTTGTTTACCTGTTTATACAGTAAAATTCTTTCTTTATTTTTTTTTCATTTTGGTGTACAGTTCTGTCCCTCATAATACATGTATAGTTTCTTGAACTGCCACCATAATTAGAACACAGACAGTTCCATCAGCCCCAAAACTTCCTTGTTATTCTCCCACCACCCCCAGCCCCTGGCAATAGCTGCTCTCTTCTCCCTACCCAGAGTTTTGTCTTTTTGAAAATGTTCTGTAAACAGAAGCAGAAATTTTATGTAACCATTTTGAGAGGACTTCTTTAATCAGATTGAGGTTCATCCAAGTGGTTGCATGTGTCAAAAGTGTGCTCCTTCCCATTGCTGAGCGGTCTCGCCTTGCACGAAGGACCCCTGGGCGTGGGTGTCATCACCCAGGTGAGGATGCTGGGGCCGTTCGCAAGACTTGGGCAGTTTTAAATAGAACTGCTGTACACATTTGTGTAGAGGCTTTGTGTGAACATACGTTTTTGTTTCTCTAGGGTAGATACTAAAATGTAATTTTAAGTTTTCCATGTTTTTCAACTTCTGTCAGATGTATTATTTCTCAAGTTATGGATGCAGATGACTTGACATTTACTCACTGATAGTGTAGTCTTTAACAGCTCCAGAGAGCCAGCGTAAGGCAAAACAGGATTTTTCCTTTCCAAAATCGGGAATAATAGCTTATGTATTTCCATCCAGTATGTCAATTTTCAGTCATCGCAGAGGGGCACATTGACACTGTTTTCTTCGGCAGCCATTATAGCCGCTGTTTGCTCCCCGTTTGCTTCAGGGTTTCGTTCCTGAGTCCATGTTTGACCGCCTGCTCACAGGCCCCGTAGTGCGGGGCGAGGGTGCCAGCCGCAGAGGACGGAGGCCCAAAAGTGAGATTGCCCGTGCCGCGGCCGCCGCGGCCGCCGTGGCCTCCACGTCTGGAATCAACCCTCTGCTGGTGAACAGCCTGTTTGCCGGAATGGACCTCACCAGTCTTCAGAATCTCCAGAACTTGCAGTCGCTGCAGCTGGCAGGCCTCATGGGCTTCCCCCCGGGCCTGGCCTCCGCGGGCAGCGACGCCAAGGGCGCGGGCGCTGTCCTGCCACTCATGCTGCCAGGTGTGGCCGGCCTGCCCGGCGTGTTCGGCCTGGGTGGGCTGCTCAACAGCCCCCTGGCGGCGGCGCCCGGGAGCGCCGCGAGCGCCCCCGGCCAGGCGGACGTGGACAACGGCGCCCCCAAGGTGGACGACAAAGGCCATGGGAACGAGGACGAGAACAAGGACTCTGAGAAAAGCACAGATGCCCTTTCGGCCCCTGACTCTTCGAATGGCTCTGTGGGCGCTGCTACCGGCCCGGCCGGCCTGCCCTCCAACCCGCTCGCCTTCAACCCCTTCCTCCTGTCCACCGTGGCCCCGGGCCTCTTCTACCCGTCCATGTTTCTACCTCCGGGGCTGGGAGGCTTGACGCTGCCCGGCTTCCCCGCACTAGCCGGACTCCAGAGCGCTGCGGGCGCTGGCGAGGAGAAGGCCCCAGACAAGGCCGACGGCGGCGCCTTCCCGCAGCCCGAGAACCCAGAGGGCAGTGACGCCGACGAGAACCTGGACAAGACGGCGGAGTCCTCCGCCTTAGAAGACGAGATGGCACAGGGTGAAGAGCTGGACTCGCTTGATGGGGGGGAGGAGATAGAACACAATGAAAATGATGAGTGACCAGTACCAGTCCGATTAAAGTGTTTAAAACTTTTGACAAGTGGTAGTCCTACTGTTTACACTCACAGTTAATGTTCATACCTAGTTTTATAAGCTGTTCTGTAACATAGTGTAGCAAAAAAAAAGTCCAAGTCATGTTTATACAGGTGTGTCAAAAGGTATCTTGGTCATTAAGTATTGTGCAGTGCATTATTTATTATCCCTAGGAGAGATGAAATTTGAGAGGTGATCTTGTCTTTTTAAGGAAACTTACATAATGCTCTGCTTTTCTTCTTTTCCTTTTGGTACCATTGGTATTATAATAAAGAGCAATTTGTAACCGAGTGGCACTAATGGAAGGAAGTGCTGCTCAAAGGAAGTATGAAGTTATATATTTAATTTTTAATTTTAATTTTTTGCTGTGAAGGTCAAGATGAAATTTACCATACATATCATACTTGCTCATTTGTTTCCCTATTTTGACTGTATGGGGGTTCCCACATTTGCTCATACACACATATCCATACACTCTGACAATCTCCACCTTAGTGTGAACGTCTCTGTCCCGAGGCGCAGCAATAATAAGGCAGCTGTTGAATGTGAAGGGTCCCTTTGGAAATTAACCTACTGGGAGGGTTCTTGCCAGACAGAACTACAGTTCCATTGTCTTGTGGTCTTGTAATGCACTGGTATAAACAAAATAAATAGATAAGTAAATAAAGAGTGAGAGAAGAGAAAATCAGGTACCTTTTTTAAATTAAAGGACTTTGTTACTTTAGCCACAAAGCTAAAACAGCATTACCTCAGCTCTAAACTAGCCTTGAAGTTTACAGACATGACTTTGTAAATGTATTGTTTTTCTTTGTTGTGATGTCCTTTTATTTTTTTCTTTGAAAACTGCTATCATGTAAGATAAAATGTAAATTGCTGCCAACTGTAGTAATGATGCTTTTAATAAAAGTGACCCATGATATGCAGCGATGTAATTATAGAATGTAGTACGTAGGGGAACTGGTGTTCACTCTAGTTTTTGTATTCATAATAGATGCAAATACAGCATTCTGGCCTTTGTACAATTTCTTGATATATCCTCTTATACCAGATGAGCTGTTAGTAATATGCTAAGCTGATTGTCTTCAGCCTAGACAGGAAGAAAAAAACTAAAATTACCTTCACATAATTCCACTGCAGATATCTCAACAGAACCACACACAAAAACCTCCTATTACTCCCTCAAAAGGGCATCTGAGACTGAGAATACTTTAAAATGTGTGCAGTGTCTGATAATGTGGTACACTGAAGAACAAAAGGGCAAAAGAAAAATGAGGCTTTAATAGGCAGAATATCTAGGTCATTTATCCTCGGTTAATGGGTAGGAAAACACAATGCTAGAGTGTCAGCAAGGGACACAAAGGCGCCCTGGTGTGCTGTGGACCAGTGCTTGATGCCAGAAACTGTGGAAAAGCCATGTGGAATTGAAAAGGACCCACTTAAGCGGTCATGCGTGCACGCGTGCACACGTGCACGCGCGCACAGTCTGGGGAGCTACTGATTTGTGCATCCCTCTGTGACCTTTGCTGTTTGAGGTAAAATATAACTTGAGATCCTCTGTTTCCACCTTTTATGTCAGCTGGCCAAAGCCAAAGCCTTATTTCCATGCGGTTTTTTTTAAGAAAGGGAAGAAGTCATGGGTGGTGTGCTCACTCCCTACACACCCTCCCCAGTCTACACACAGTCCATCCCCACCTGGTGTGTTACAAGACAGATTGGCTCAATTCCTTTCAGACAATGCGATTCGGTTAATTTATATCCCAGCATGGAAATGTACACGTTGTGATTCTGGAAAAGGAACAACTTGAAGCCTCCACTTTAGAGAGCCTGTGGTTGCTTTTGTGCATCATTACTGTTACCTCTTAGAAAGTCAACAAATGGATAGTGTGCATTGGAGGGAAGTGCCTTTAAGGGAACAGCTTCTGAAGTGGAATTCTTCAAACATGGAAAATAAGGCTAGATTTGCACGAAGTATAATAAATTTATATGTTTAAATAACTGAAAGGTTTTTTTTAGGCCTTCAGATAAGACTTAGGGAGAATATGTTTATTAAAGTGAATCATAAAAGGTTCTTTTTCTAAAATTCTTTATGGTATTGAAAGTTTTCCTATAACCTTCTGTAAATAGAGCATAATATATGACTCCATCCCTGACAGAAGAAAATGCTGAGAACAATGATGATCTTCAAAGCAAAGGCATCAGTTGCTTGTGGCCAGAAGGAACCCTGAGTTGATCGATGGGTCAGCAGCCAACTCTGCATTATCAGGGATTTATCTGTTAACGCAGCTTTAAAGTCATTCAGTTTTCATGTTGGAAAATGCATTTTTTTCTACTAATGGAATTAGTCCATAATATTAGATCTTGAATTTATCTAAGTAAGAAATATTTTAAATTCAGTCAAATACTTAATAACTAGCGTTCATTGTGTAGTTAGTGTTAAATAAACACGAGGAGCTCAGGGCTTTCCATGGCATTGCTGCTTCATTATTTCTCTGTGAGGGAAGTGCTGTTCATGAGGAAACAGACTTGGAGTTTAAGTAACTGGCCGACAGTAGATACAGGAGCTAGATTTGAGCCCCAGCAGTCTGTCATCAGAGCCTATTCATGGTTTCCCCTAAAAACTGCTCTCTTAGGTCCTTGAAAGAAAATTACTACATGATGATGAAATGTTAGTATATTTTTACATTTTTTCCCCTCACCCATCTGTAAAAGGTCATAAGTGTCTGGTTGGGAATTAAGAGAGGTAGAGCCTGGAACAGGTGTGAGCTCCGACCAGAGTAACTTATGCCCCACTTACCTACCTCATTTAAATTTGGGTTATCTTGCCTCCATATGAGTATTTCTATTCTATGAAGAAATCAAGTCTTTAAAAAAGATGAACTTACTCAAATAAGCCTCAGAGTTAGTAAATTGCAAACTTGGTTGGTCCAACTGCAAAGCCGGCACTTAACTGCTGTGCTACTGTAACCACCTGCTGGGTGCTCTGTGCTGGATGTGGTTTTAGTGGCAAGACTGTAGCAATGAAAACCAAACAGATTACTCCCCTGCTGTCAGGGAGCTTCCCTTCTAGTAGGAAGGGGCAGGTGATAAACACATGATGGAGGAAAACTATTAAATAAGGTGATGGGTAGTCAGGGAGGAGCTCTCTGGGGATGGGAAAACTCTGCTTACATGTAAGTGATGAGAAGCAGTAGCCAAAGAGCTGGCTGGAGACTGTTCCAGGCAGAGGAAGAGCCAATGTGAAGATCCTGAGTTGAGCGTAAGCTTGGAGAGGGGCCGACAAGAGACTGACCACCTAATTGGGAGACAGGGGCCAGGATGGTCCCGGTAGACAGCTTGGGTTTCTGTTGAAGTG